GGGCACCACTTCTAAGGTTCTAAGATAGTCGCAGGAAGACCCCTAAGGCTAGATCCTAACTCCCACGAGAAATACTAGACCTCACGAAAATTGAGGTCAACAGTGGAACACAACTGAAATATTAATACCGTATAGCTGCAGTTCTTGACTTAGTTAACTCTAAGCTATCAGGCCAGATCGTAACAGAAATCACAGAAGGGAGAGAGGAAGAGAAGGAAGAAGAAAGACCGCACGTAATGTGCTGTGCCGAGCCCTAGCTAATTGAAGTTGAGAAGGAAGAAGTCACAAATTTGTGCGAAGGTGGAAGGAAGAAGAAGAAGAAGGAGAAGTCGAAGGAGGAAGAAGAAAACCTCGCGAGCGCATATCAAAGGAGGAAACCTTCGATGCGGAACTCTAGTCGAAAGGAAGCTTTGTGCGCGTTGTTCTGTTGGGTCGAACCGAGACCAAAGGAGAGGCGTTGTTTTTGCGAGAGGAAGAAAGGTGCTCTCGTGTGGGAAGAAGAGGAAGTGGGGAAGCTCGCATGCGTGAGTTAGGTCCTGAGCTTTTAAGGTAAAAATGCGAGTTTTAATTTAAGTTAAATAAATTTATTTGATTTAGTTTAAGTTTTAAATATATAAATTTAATTAATTAAATAGATTATAATATTAACATTTATAATTTATGAATTTAAAACAGACATTATTAGTGGAAGATTATGTGGGAAGAACTATCGAGTCCAACAATTATTTTTAAAGTGAGTTTGGGTTATATTAATTTAATTAATGAATTCTATATGCATGCCTAAGTTTATTCCTTAAGTGTTAATATTAAACATATTTGAAATTAGGATGTATTTGAGGTTAGATATACATTTTTGAGATTGAGAGGAGAAAGAGAAGAGTTGAGCAAGGAAGCAAGCTAAATATTAAGGTAAGGAATTGCTAATTGATTTATATATGTTAATTTATTCATATGTCATTAGATTTATTGAAGTCTTTCTTTTAGAATGAAATTCTTATAGTTATATGCATATTTAATTGATTTATGTGTTAGTTAAAGGAAGTAAAGTGATAAATATTTTAGATGTTTCTTCAAAATAAATGTGTAATTATTTTCTTATGTATTAAATAAATATTTTATTAAATGAATAATTGCTTTTTTAAATGATTTAAAATAAGTATTTCATTCATGTCTGCCATTTTGAAAGTCTGAAATGCTATCACAAATGAGAGTAAAATAATGGACATGTGAAGGTCGGGTTGTGACACTTTCGAGCTTTGAAAATAGGTCGAACGACATTTTTTGCAAGTTGAAGAAGTCTTTATATGACTTGAAGCAATCTTCTCATACTGGGTTCATCATGTTTGCTAAAGTTGTGATTACAAATGAATATCATCAGTATTAAGTTGATCATACACTATTTGTTAAATCTAATCCTAGTGACAAAATTATTATTCTCATAGTATAGATAGATGATATTATCTTGATAGGTTATGATTCAAAGGAATTTTCAGACTAGAAAAGATACTTGCACAAGAATTTGAGATCAAGATTCTCGGAACTATTCAATACTTTTTGGAAATGGAGGTGGCTCAGTATAACTGGGAACTATCATGTCCCAAAGAAAATACATCGTAGACTTGTTAAGTGAAACTGATATGCTTAGGTGTAAACTTTTTGACAAACCTATGGATTCCAATAAAGTGTTGAACAAATGTGCCAAAAAAATAGTCTAGTTGATAAAGGAAGAAATCAATGACTTGTGGGCAAACTAATCTATCTGTCACACACAAGACATGATGTTGCATACCCAATCAATAGTAAACAAACATACGAATAATCCAAGTGAGAGTCATTTGGATGCAACAAACATAAATTTGAGGTACTTGAAGATGACTATTGGGTATAGTTTGCTCTTCAAAAGATTCGAAGATCGTGTGATTGAAATATAGGAAAGAGAAGTAAGAGATAAGAAATCAACCATTGGGTACTATTCACACGTTTGGGGAAATCTCGTCACTTGGAGAAGAAAAAAATAAGCTATTGTCTCGAGGTGTAGTGCAGAATTTCAATATCATATGCTCTTGTTCTAGGAATATGTGAGGAAATGTTACTTCAAAAGCTATTAAGGGAACTCGGGGCTGAGACAAATGACACAATTAATATGTTCAGTGATAATCATGCAAGCAACTATTAGTATAGCCAAAAATCATGTGCACTATGATAAAACAAAACACGTCGAGATTGACCAAAACTTCATCTCAAAAAAAGTTAACAGTGGAATTGTTTAACTGAGTTATGTTCCAACAATACTTTAGATTGCTAGTATTCTCACCAAAGCACCATCGAGGGTCAACCATGATAAATTGTATTCAAGTTTAATTTGTACAACACCACCTAGTTTGAGGGGGAGTGTGCGATTAGGATGGAATTTATTTCCATTTACTTGGAATATATTCCAATATTTAATTTTTCCTTTATTAGATATTTCCTAATTTTATGTTTTATTATTTTTGTGGGATTCCAAATTTGCAGGGACTTCGGTTTTCAATTCCGTGGACTGGTATGCCGGTCATTCTATTATATGTAGTAGGTTATAATTTATTATATGTGGAATAAATTTTTTTCTCAGATTTTTCAAAAACTAATGACTAATTCCATATAACAAGATCATAAATCTGTCCTAGAAACCAACTCTGCAAAGAGCATGCTTAGACTGCAGGAATGGATATTGATTTAATATATTTTACTTGATGTTACTTATAAAAAATATTGCATAACGTAGTGTATTTTATGAGATCTAGTTAATTATGTTTACTTTTGATGGATGATCATTTTAGCACAAAATCTGCAGCCCATGGTTTACTCTAGGACATGTTGATGCTGCAATATATGGTGTTCGCTATCATGGAAATTCTCGGCGTCAGGTTCTGCAACAAATTTGGCTTCTCAATTTGTTTTCATTTAACTTTGCTATTTTTGTAGAACATACTGCATTATCTGATAATTCAATTTTTCCAGATCCTCGAACAATATCAAGAATACGCTGACTCGGTTATTGGAAAGTATGGATCTAATAAACCAAATGTTAGACAGCTTGTTAAGGTTTGTTAGAAGAACTTGTGCTCTACAATTTATGTCCAATAATTAGTCGAAACTGCAAATATATGAACAGGCATGATTCTGATTTTTTGCAGAATGCACCTTTAAAATCAAAACTTTTACAACCGCTATTATCATGCTTAAGCATTTTGTTATTTTGAATGTTTTCGACATAACGCAACTTTTCACATTGACAAACTTGTTATCATATCAGATCCACCTTACATAACGATTTGCTGAAATGCCATAGTTAGCTCATTGCTCCTGAATGATTTTCAAAGGAGGGTATTTTTTTTAATATATAAAATAGCTTGTAATTTGTTTATGTTGAATTCGTTGTTGCCGTGTTTTCTAATTTGTGAGAAATTCACTAAAGTGAGAGTTAAAACAACAGTTAAATTATTTTGAAGATAGAGGTTCAGAATTGGTAGAGTAATGATTACATATATCATATGCAACTTTAGTTGATGTGATGTTAAAAATTATCAACTGATTTTATTAGAAGATACGATAACGTCTAAATAGGACGTAATGGAGAAAAAAGATTCATGTAGCCGACCCCACGTAGTGGGATTAAGGCTTTGTTGTTGTTGTTGTTGTTGTAGATGATATGATAATGCCTTGGGCTTATAGGTTTTTGAATATATTAGATTTATTACATAGAAGAATGAGGATATATATGAGGATCTAATTTTTACGGTTAAGATTGTGGGTGTTTAAATTGAGATGTGCCCCAACAGTGTTATGAGTTAGGAGGATATAATGAAAATTTGTTAATTTATAATCAAGCTGACGATGTTATATGAATCTGAGAGTTAGGCTTTAAAATAAATTTGATATCAAAATTGAATGTGACAAAAAATTGGGAATGTTACGAAGGTTTAATTGGAAGTTATTATTTAAGAGCAATGATTGGAGTGATGTTTAATGGAATTGGGGCTAAAACTGAAATGGGAAATAGAGCTACATGATTAAATGGAGCATGAGCTATCTCAGCAAATACATAAGTTATATCAACTAGTTTGACAACTTAATTGGCTTGTATGGACAAGATATTCTCAATAGAGGGGGAAGACTCTTTGAAGGTTTTAAAAGGAATTTTTCAAGAAATTGTATATATTTCTAGCTAGTTTCGGAAACTAATTGATTTTTTCCCTTGTATTTTATTTTATTTTTGTTAATTTTGAATTGTAGAACCTAACATAATAGTATAAATATTGCTAGAAATGAATAAAAAATAAGTTCTTGATATTTGCCAAAATTTGGAGGGTAAAATATCTTGGGTTGAGAGCTTGGCGAACCACCCTTTTTTGGCCTCTTAGTATAAGGCCTAAATTTTTTAATATGCTTCTTGTTCTTTATACAAACTTTTGGATAGCATATTATATTGTAGATTGTGGAGTTTTTAAAACATATTCTGCTAATAATACAAAAAGAATATCTGTGTTGCATCTCGCTTTTAATCTTCAACAATGTTTTAATCTTACTCTTCCATTTATCCTACCTTAGGCGTTTCAAATTTTTTCACCATTAAAAACGTTCTTGATTTCAATTACTGTCAATTTGACTCTCCTATCTTGTGGAATATTTTTGTACTTAAAGATTCATTCCGTGATTTGCAGGCATTCTATGATTTTTTTCGGATTCATATGACCATCAAAGTTTGACAATTTGATTTTTACCCTAAAGTCATTATTTTATCTGATATTCAAGGCAAAATCACTGAGATATTTGATCTTTCACTGAAAACCTTTTGGTGGAAGGGGTTAACTTCTTCCGCTGATGGGTTATCATTATGGATATGCGTGATTTTTTTTTATTCTCTTTCAAATTTGTGAAGCATTATTATTGTAATAATTGAATTTTCATTAAAAAAAAATCAAATCGGCATGTGGTCTAACCGTCGTTACGGTCAAGCTTAAGGGTTGTGAGGGGGGTTCAATCGTGAGTCTATCTTCAATTTTTTGAAAAGTTTAAGAGGGAGAACAGAGAAATCAAGAGAAGAAGAACGATGACAGCGAAGGAGAGGAAGAAAGAAAGAAGAAGGAAGAAGATACAAGTTGAAATAATGGATTAATGAGCGTCTCTTACCTACTTTGATGTTGAAACCTAGTCAAAGGCAAGCGATGTCGAGGTCTTGTGGTGTGAGATCAAGTCGCGTCGAAGAGGAAAAGGGCAGAAAACTTCGTGTAGGCGAAGAGGAAGCCGAGCCCTACTCCAGCAGGTTACGAAACTGTGCTCTTGCAAAGGAAAAAGGAATACCAAAGGAGAAGAAGCCAATAGAGGAAAAGGCCAGTGCGTGTGGTGAGGTGTGAAGGAGGCGGCAGAGTCAAAGACTTCATGTGTGGGTGTTTCGAGAGCAATGGAGTTGTTGGTGCGAAGGAGAAGAAGAAAGAGAAGGGAGGTCGCATCTCTCATGCGAGAAGTGGATTTCCTCTGGGTCGAGTCTAGACCGAAGGCATGAAGGAGATATTCAGATCTGTAGAGAGAAGGGGAACTTTCGTGTGTGTTAGGACAGTTGAACAACATATAAGGTAAAATAGTTTAGATTATAATTTAATAAATATATTTTTTATATATTTAAGATTATTCATTTAATGTTAATCGTAAATGCGTTTGAATCATGATCAAAGTTATTTAAATCCCGAATTTCAATGGAGGAGTAACACGAACTTTCTAGCAAGGGAAAATGAAGATTATTGGGCAGCCGAAAAATTTTAGGGGAGCTTTCATGTGGGTTAGGACAATCAAACAATATATAAGGTAAAATAGTTTAGATTATAATTCAATAATTATATTTTATATATATTTAAGATTATTCATTTAATGTTAATCGTAAATGCATTTGAATCATGATCAAAGTTATTTAAATCCCAAATTTCAATGGAGTAACACGAACTTCCTATGCAAGGGAAAATGAAGATTGTTGGGCAACCGAAAGATTTTAGGGTACATTAGATTTTCATTAAATTAACTAATGAAGTTAATGTGTGTGTTATTTATATAATGTTAATATTATGATTTCAATAAGGGATTAAAGAAATTAGATTCAAAAGGCTAAATATTTTGGATCGTGTATTTTGTACGGTGCAGGAAAGCGACAAGTGGAGGTAATTTATGTTTTTATTTATGCTCTCGTTTTAATAACATTAGGCAAATAAATTTTTTTGCGTAAAACTAAAAGGAGTATTTGATTCAAAAAATATATATTTTTTAAAATTTAGACATATTTTAGTCATTTCTTTTAAGAATATGATTCTTATCTAATTTATGCAAATTCATTTAATATAAGTGGCCGCCCAAAGATGTTAGGGGAGAAATAAATATTTGAGAGATCTTGTAAGACATATGTGAGTGATTATTTTCTTTTATGCATTAAATTAATATTTTTTTAAATGAATAATTGCTTTATTAAATTGTTTAAAATAAGTATTTTATTCTTCTCTTGTATTTTGAAAGTCTGAAATGATATCGTAAATGGGAGGATAATAATGGACATGAATTTGCATTTGAAATTATTTTAAATTCATATGAAATAAAATATAAAATTTTAAATCATATAAGATTACCTCAGATGGTATTGACAGGAGATGCGATGCTTGCATACACGTTAAAGGTAATGGTAAAGACGTAACTTCAGGTGCAATTTGATGGTACATTCATGAACATTCTTTAGGGTACCAACGATATCTTTTTTTTTGGATGCCTTTGAGTATGAAGATAATCCTGTTATGACTCTTATAGAGGTTTAAATAGTAAATACTTAAAGTGAAATGGAAAGAGATAAATTTAACATGGAAGATTAAAGTTTAATAAATAAATAAATTACATTTTCTTTGATCATTCATACATAGCATTGACATAATGATTTAATACATATAAAGATTATAATTGTTTACTAAGTCAAAATTATTCTTGCAATTAATATTTTTTTTCAGGAAAAGAAAAACATTAGGTTGATATGTCTGGTAGAAAAAACTTGTTTTACAGAAGGTCTACAACGGATAAATATTATGTTCTGATGAGTTTATAGTTTCTTTTTGTATCGTCTCTTTTGGATAGTGATATACTATTGTGTAGATTGAGATTTTAATTACAAATTATTTCTATTATGGTTGGATGATTTAAATTTATTCATATGTAATTGTGGAATTCTTAGTAGTTTTTTTATATTTTGAAAGATTCTATAACTCTGTGAATAGTTGTTTAAATATTAATATCGTCCGATCGTTGTTCTTGACTTGGTTAATTCGAAGCTATTAGACCGAGTCATGACAGTTGTAATTCGATAAATTTTTTTGTTGCATGTCCTCCATGAAGCTCCTAAACACATTTTTACGGAATTCTTTTTAATAGTGTGGTGGATTTTCCTTCAATCTTGGGTTCAACAAGGGAAAAAGGATGGTTTTTGGATTTTGAGGGACTTGGTAGAGGTATGAAGGAGTTTGATTGGAGGATATAAGGTTTGGTATATAAAATTTGGTTCTACGAAGAGAAAAATGGCACTGATCTATGGTTTCACGAAGATGGCGTTTTGGTAAGATTAGAATCTATGGGTGCTTGTGAATGAAAAGGGTTGATTATAACCTGGGTTTGACTGGAAATAGTGAGCAACGGAGAATAGTGACTGTTGGTGTAGTTTGAGAGTCTAAGGTGGGGATGTTGGGAAGGATCCAACACCACTCTAAAATATAGAGCTACACGAGCAATGACATAACACTCATAAATGAGAGAAACCTGAGTGGATATTAAAATTTCTTGAACCAAATTCTATAGCTATCTAAACCAGTCAAATACTGTATAACACACACACGCAGACATACATGCCATATAAAAACCTTAAATTTAATTGAAATAAAAAAGGAAAGAACTAATGACCCCATTAACCCTTAAAAACCGGTTGACCTACCCAAGAGGGCGAATCAGATAGAATAGGTTATGCAGTGAACCAGCTCTGAGCTAGCTGGTGGACGAGGCACCCAACATCAGCTTCCATCTAGAACTTTTAACAGGTTGAATGCAATGAACGCAAAGCCATTTAAAATTATACATCACACTGAGACTAATTTTTTCAAATTAAAATTTTCAAACAATTTCGGTATATCCTCAATTTGTTCCCTGGATTCTACAATTTGGACCTCTTCCTTATGAATCCACATTAATTTTCTTCCATATGGTTGCATCTTTATTTCTAAAACTATTCTGGATGACAATATTATGCCATTGTTAATAGTGGATTTTATATTCATTAACAAGGCAAACTTAATTATGATATTTTTTTGATTAATCTATGAGGAAGGAGAATTGTTTATTGAGCATTGACCGCTAAATTAATCAAAGTTAAATTTGTACAAACTAGTAGATTTGGTGGAAGTATTTTTATTTTTTTATGTTGAAAGCATTATATCGATCATATTTTAGTTTTTATTTTTTATTTTTGTTTTGAAGACATGCCAGTGATGTTGGTCGAGAAGTGTTATATTCGTTGTGAAATTTTGTATTTTGTTTTCTAGCTTTAGATTAATTTGTTTCGTTAACATGATTTCAGATTTAATTTAGCGTAGATTACTTTTCATGGGAGATTTTGAAAGTTGTTAAATTTGGATTCTTTTTTTTTTTCAAAGAATGACAGATTGATGTGTGGAATTTGACATTATTTCCTATCACACAAAACCTATATTTAAAATGTGCAAACTTCTTTGTTTAGCATTACACCCACAATATCATCGAAGTTTAACTTCGAAGTCCCTGAAGAATTACTTACCGTCGTATCAAACCATCCTAGCTGTCTGACAATGAAGATAATATCACCAGTGCTCTGATCTCATCATCAAACTTGATCCACATAGAACACTACTGGCTTGTCACACTATTGAAGTTATTGAGATGTTTTGCCATTGACCTGTCTTCCACTGTCTTCATGTTGAATAATTTCTTCATAAAAAAATATTATTGGAAGCAGAAGATTTTTTTTACATCTTGGCCAGTGCCATCATTAGATTCACCGTAGTTCTCATTCTCAATGTTGAATGCAACATATGAGGAAAGTGACAGTCGGTTCAAACCTAATGTCGTTCGTTCCAACACTTCCCATTCCTTCATTGGTATAGACTCAGACTTCATTGTGATTCCTTGTAGTGATAAATATAATTTTTTTTATACAATAAATTTTTCCACCTGCATCTTCCAGAAACCGAAGTTCGTCCCATTAAACTTCTTCACTTTAAATCTTGCTTCTTTGTTCATTGTTCCCGCTCGAATCGAACTGCGCTCTTATACCAGTTTGATAGGAAATTCGAAAGAATATGTCTCAACTTTATTGGGGCTTAAGATCAATTAAAAACTAAACCACACTGCGGAATAACATGATCACACAAATTCGAGAAAACCAAAACAAAAAATGAAATTTAAAGTTCAATCAAAGCAATTAAAAATGCTCACGAGAATTTTACATGGAAAAACCTAAGAACGGGAAAAAATAATGGAGCTACACCATAAAAAATTTTGCTATGAAATTCAGAAAGTTTTAACAATGAACTCACACCAGTGTCTTCTCTACACAAAGAAACTTACATGACTCGCTCTATAATCTTCTCTCTCCAATTCGATGCAAAAATCATGTCGAATCACTGAAATTCACCTTTTCGACACTTCTCAGCTTCACCAGGATGTTGGTCGAGGAATGCCCAAGGAAGAAACCCCTAAGCCCTAATGTTTACGCCATTTGAAATCGATATTAAAAAATATCCCATCATATAATTGCTCTTGATGCCTATTCGCCCGGACTTGACGCATAGGCGTCGATCTCTCTGTATCGATACCTAGTATTGGGTGTCTATGCGCCCAAAGGGGGTGCATAAGCGTCACCTTCCCTGTCAAAGCCCACTAAAAGTGGGAGCATATGCGTCAAAGGTCGGGGCAGAGGCATCGACTCTTCTGTGAGGAGCACCTATTGGGCGCTTGAGCGCCCATGACCTGCTGCTTGGGATGCTTCGGCTCCACACACATAACATAATGCTATTATTTTTAATAAAAATGATTTAGGGGGTGTTTGATATGATACTTTTAAGAGTTTTAAGAGGGTTTGATATGATACTTTTAAGAGGATTTAAGTTAGATTTAACCTAAATCTAGCCAAACACAATAAGTAGGTTAGATAAATCTGTTGTCAAGTTAAATCCAATTATTGCTAATTCTGTTTATTAAATCTTGATTTACTAAATCCACTTATTAGTTGGATTTAACGGATTTAGCGCGAGAAAAAAATATGTGAAATTGATTTATGCTAAACACCTCAAATGAATTTAATTGGATTTAATCTTAAGTGAACCAAACATTATTTTAGATTTAATGATTTTTAGATTTAATAAATCCGAATTTACTGGATTTACTAAATCCAATTTAACTTAAATCCTCCTTGCAGCCAAACGCCCCCTTATTGAAAATCAAATTTTTTGCAAATTAATTTATTTGCTCGTTGATTTTCTTTCTTTCAATCGTTGCTGATTTTCCTAGATTTTAATGATCCTTTCATCGTCAACTATTCTTAAAAACTTCTAGTTTTTAAAGAAAAAAATCAATTTATTTATTTTTTATATCTTGTGATTGTATGCTCTATATTTTCCTTACTTAAAAGCATATGACTCATCATATTAGTTAATATTTGGAAACCTAGTCCCGTGTTGTGCAGCATCATTGTAGTGGTTTTCTCAAGTGGAAACCTTCAATTATTTACAAATTGATGACAATTTAGTTCACAACCATGTCTTTCTTTTTTATTATTGCTTTTTTGTTTATGCCTAACATTTGTCCCTTAACATTATTTGTCTTATTTTCTGAAAGCCTCTTCTAAACCTGTTTCATTCGGAACCTGGTAATAGCCAGTGGAAACGCTCGGCTGATGCTGCATTAAGGCATTGCAATGTACGTAAAAACTCCCCTCAACTTTTCTTCACATCTTGTGCATTAAGTTCATTAATTTTTCTTTAGGGCCTTTAAAAAGCCTATTTCTGTTTTTGAATTCGGTGCATGCATGAGTATTTGAATTTGGCTTAATCAGATACTAAATAAGTTAGATAATGTGGTGATATCATGAACCCTAAAAGATGATTCATCAAATCACCATAAAAAACCATTATCATGTATGATGATGTATACATTAAATCCTTATAGAAAAAGAAAACTAAGTCTCAATGTTGGACATTTTCTTGATTATACAAACAAGAAAGAATATTAAGTGCAAAAAAAACTTATATGATAAAAATATGCGCCTCAAATTAATCATTTTCTTCATTAATAATTTTTTAAAAGGCTTAGGGAATTTAAAAGGATTTTGCTAGATTTATAATTCATAAAACATCAGTTAAAAATAAAAATAAAATATAACATTATAGAAATAAAGTACAAAAGAGTGTAAACAAATATGTCTCTAAAATAGATGATTTATATTAAGTAATCCAAACAGAAAATGCTAGTATTCATGTTTCGTTTCTTCAATCCGGGCACGGTTGGTATTTGTTAGGAGCTCGATAGCACAATTATAACTTTTTGAAATCTCAAAAAAAGTGATAATTTCTTTTTTCTCATGATTAGCTTGCCAATTATTCTTGAAGATGACGGAATGTGACACTAAGATGAAGTTTATTTTGCTTGTGCAGTCTGTGAAGTCTTTTCTGGAAGAAACATTGGTCAACTTTCCCGACCATGTCTTAGATTCAACACTTGTGAATGGTCCTCCATCCAGCTGCGACCAGTTTGCACATATTGATGATGCCTTATTGCCACCTCCATATAACATAGATCAAGCCCACGACACTTTAGCCTATGCTGAGGACGAGGGAACATTGCTTCATTTTGTGTAAAACTGTATTAAGATAGAGAAATATATACTTAGTTCAGTTACAAGTCAACCGATGAGATGATTTTGCAGAAGTTTGATATGTAAATGAGGTGATGATGAATTTTGCATGCTGAGTAACCAAATTTTTGAGTACCCCACTTAGACTGGAAGGAAAATTTTATAAGACAATAGTGAGACCTGCAATGCTGAATGTTGGCCTTTAAAATAGAAGTATAAAACTAAGTGTTGCCGAGGTTAGAATGATTAGGCGGATGAGTAGATTTATGCTTAAAGACAAAATGTGAAATGAGTATATCTATGATAGGGTTGGTGTAGCTCTAGTGACGGACAAAAGGAGGGAGTCGTCTCAGATGGTTTGGTCACATTAAAGATCGATTATTTGATGATCCGATTAGGAGGGTAGATATTTTGATTTGATTTATGTTAAAAAAGGCAGAGGCAGACCTAGGAAGACTTGAGCATAAGACCTAGGAAGACTTGAGCATAGACCTAGGAAGACTTGAGCATATTGTATAAAAAGTGAACTTAATTTATTAGAATTAAATGAAAATATGACACTAGATAGGATGTTGTTGTGAAAAATGATGGCAATAAAGCGAAAAATTAGATCGAGAAAAATCACAAAACAAAAAACACAGCGGATACACACAGATTTGCATGGTTTGACAAATTACCTACGTCCACGGAGCTGCAGAGGATTTTATTACCTTGAGGATTATACTCATCGATCGCCTCGACGATTACAAGAAAGAACTCTCTCTCTCTTCCCCCTCCTTTCTTTGTCCTCTCCTCTCTCTCTCTCTACCCGAGAGCTTCAAAACCGAAGCACACCAGAAGAAAAACCCAGAAAGCTACCAATGCCGAAGAGGATGCCTGGGAAATCAAATCCCGAGAGAGATTACAAGGGGAGCTAGCATGTCTATTTATTAATTTTATCATGTCATTAGGCCTATTAAGGAATTAATCAAATAATTAATAAAACACATTAATTATTTCATTTTCTCTTATGCAGCAAATCATAGAAGGAACTAAGAGTAATTAATTTCGAGTATCAAATTCAATTTTCTGTTAAACATGAGAAATGTCAATTTGAACAGTGGGCTGGTTTCCATATTCGCAACAAATCTCTCACTTGAAGACTGATACACTTGCGGCATCATTCATTAGCTACGTCACCCTTTTCTTCAAACGTGATACCCTCCACCTCTGCAACTCAAAGCCCCGATTTTCATATCAGAAGACCAGCTGAAGTCGAGCACAACTTCAAATTCTTAAGAGTAATACCCTTAGTCGACATATCATCATCAACATCGCTTTATACATCCAAGCTCTTTCTTGGGTGCTTACAACTCCCACTGCATGGCCAGTATCATGTCTCTACTGTAAGCATTTTTCAACATGTCTAGCCTTGTACCTCTTACTATCATCAAACGCAGTTTTCACCTGGTACACACACTTGTTGTGCAATGCTTTCTTCCCTGGTGAAAGTTTTGTCAGCTCCCAAGGTTGATTCCCTGGCAGGGAATTCATCTTTTCCGGTCGCTTTCTCAGTAACGAAAGATGAAGTTTCTTCCCATAGAGGTAGTCTTCTACCTGCATCCTTCAGTAACCGAAATCTGTGTCATTAAACATCTCGATCTCTAATGCCATCACATCATCTCCAGTCATCATTTTTCCTTAGATCCGAACCTTAGCTCTGATACCACCAGTTATGAAAAATGACGGCAATAAAGCGAAAAATTACAAAACAGAAAACACAACGGAAACACACAAATGTGTGGTCCGACAAATTACCTACGTCCACGGAGCTGCAGAGGATTTTATCACCTTGAGGATTACAACCGTCGATCGTCTCGACGATTACAAAAAAGAACAATATATATCTCTCTCCCCCCCTTTTCTTTGTCCTCTCCTCTCCTTTTTCTCTACCCAAGAGCTTCAAACAGAAACACACCAGAAGAAAAACCCGGAAAGCTACCAATGTCGAAGAGAAAACTTGAGAAATCAAATCCCGATAGATTACAAGAGGAGCTAACATACTTATTTATTAATTTCATCATGTCATTAGACCCATTAAGGAATTAATAAAATAATTAATGAAACTCATTAATTATTTCATTTTCTCACTGTCAAACATGAGAAAAGGAAATAATTAATTGCCGTCATTTTTTTCACAACAACTGGTATCAGAGAAGTCTTAGAGGTACAAGGCTATGTTGATGTTGATATATCGACTGAGGGTGTTACTCTTGAGAAACTGAAGTTGTGCTCGATATATTGACTGAGCTTCTCAAGAAGACTTGGAGGTACAAGGCTATGTCGATGCTGATATATCGACTGAGGGTGTTACTCTTAGAGGTACAAAGCTATGTTGATGCTGATATATAGACCGATTTTCATATTCACAACGGATGTAATGGAGAAAAAATATACATGTAGCCGACCCCACTTAGTGGAACAAAAGTTTTATTGTTGTTTTTAACCGAATTTTTGAATTGATGAGGAGCCATGTGATATCGCGGTGGCTTTTAACTGAAATTTAAGTTGTTATATTCTTCGCTAGAGAAGCTATATATATATATAGCTTTTACTATTTTGAGAGAAATGGTCTCCATGGCCACAGTGTCTGTTACTGTTTATGAGCTGGCGGTGTTTGCATCCATAATTAATGGGTAGCAGTTCTGTATTGGTAGCAATCTGAAGTTAATATTAAATAATACTGAATCAAAACTTAAATATACAAAAATAAATGAGCAGTTAAAACGTTCTGCAAATAGTCTGACAATCCCAATGAGTTTGGTTTGAGGTCATGCTGTGTGCCAATCATCCAACATATATTATATATCCCACGTTGTTTAAAAGATCGTTAATTGCCCCAAAATTAATTTGAATTTTAGCTCAGAAAGATATCGAATCAAAATAAATAAGCAGAATCATTGGATCAAATTTTTTTTCGAGCTAATTTTGAGGCATACGCGAGTCAGCTCGAAATGACTCAAAGATTGGATCGTTATATTTTTTTATTTATAAAAATTATATATATAATGCTTCATAAAATTGAATATAATGAGTCATGAGCTAATTTCGAGCTGATTTTTAATAGGAACTGATCCAAATAATTCAATTTGAGCTAGTCAGTTTCCATTTGGATCGATCCGATTCCGAGCTAAAACAAATTCAAATAACTCAATTTGAGTTAATTTGTTTTGAGTTCGAGCCTGATTGAGCTTGATTCAATGATGAGCATGCTCAACTCGAAATCAAATCTAAAGAGCAACTAGCCAATTTCAATCCGACCCTACTTTTGTTCGAAATCGGATCATTAACAACACTACATATGATTATTATTATTATGTAAATTATTTACTGTAATCCAACATTAAATTATATTATAAAAAATCATTTACGTTTAAATACTCAAACAATTATTTACTGCCTTCGATTATTAAAAAAAACATTAAATTATTCTGCTCTAAACAACTCCATTTGGTTAAACAAAATAAAAAATAAATGCACAAAGTACATGCATTTTACATTTATACCCAATCTCTTTTATAAATTAATCATTCAACATTTAGAGGATTCTGATTCGAATTCTTATTTTACTGTTGCATAACATACTCAATATACATTTGCACCAAGTGTTTAAAATAGGGATTTTTACATACATAGCGCACAAAACATTGCTATTTACGTATTTCACCTCAAATTTAAATATTACAAAATTCGCAATTCTGTTGTCTCTTTAGTCTCCTACCTCTTAATAAATATACGATTGACTCGAAAGAAGTAATATGGTCGGCTGGATTCGATGAATCCCAATGGGAGCCTAAGGCCGAGACCTTGAAACACCTCTGGCTTGACTTCAAAGATTTGTTGGGAGAAAGTGTTTTTTTGGTGGTATAAGTCGTGGTGCTTCTGCACGTTCGTTTCTTCGATGGTCGAGCGACATGATACCCACTCTATAAGGATTATGTGTCTTGATATGCTTTGGGGGCGTCGTCATTGGTGAGGTTGATCATCCTTTGTGGGTGATGTGGCGTTACTATTCTTTGCAACACCTCTGAATTCCTCCATCATCTGTTCCTTGACCTCGTTGATCAGTTGAGTTACAAAATCACGGGTACAAGTCATGTTGTCAATTATTCCTGAGATTGAGATTATTCTCTTTGAGTTTTTGCTCTTTTTGTTCTCGACATGATCGACGCCCACCGCACCTATTAGGGTGTTGAACCCAAATTTGTCCATGAATCACACGCAAGTAATAGAGTGTAAATAAGAAGAAGAAGGGAGAGAGTGGAGATTAAGACAGAAGTCTTAGGAGAGCAAACCTTAATAATCCCCTCGTGTCCTTTTTTAATTGTTACTGTTTTCATATTTATAGTAAACAAACGTTACATAATGAAATGTCGGTAATACCCTTGAGTTTCTCTATAGTTAGTTGACCGCAATAACTTTCACGACTATCGTTCTTTTCATTGGATCCAATCATTTCTTATCGAAGTGTTGGTTCGCTCGCTCCTATGCTGGCGGATCCTTTATTTGCTTATTCAATTGACCGCGTGTTCCGTCCAAGGTATATTTTGATCATATAAAAAATACTATAAATATAAATATAAAACTTAAGGAATTAGATATGTAAATACATAAAAAAATGTGTGGCATGCATGTAAATTTTCATAATCCGAACTCCAACAACTTTGACAAAAAAAAAAGGGCCCTTTTATATCATATCTTCATCTATGATTGGGATGATGGATCCAATTTTAATTATTTAAAGAACCGATCATCAATCATGTCCTGAGTTCCATTCAACTGCCTTTACAATTTTATATTATTAATTTACAATAATTGATGTGCTTCCATTTGAATCCCAAACTTACGCATTCATCCTCTATGACATCATTTGGAAGGACATTTATGCAAAGCTTATGATTATCCTCTAACGACTTGTTTCACTCAAGTCGTTGCTCTGTCTTTTTCCAATCTATCTGTCATGAATCTGACAAGAACCACCCCTATCAAAATTTGAGCTAGTTTAAAATGATATTGCTATATATATATATATATAATAATAATAATAATAACTATTCTTGAAGTATCGGACCGATGTTTTTACTTGTGGATCAAACTATTAAAAATTTGATAAAGATTA